CCGAAGGACTCAGGGTGGTGTACAGCCAAAATTAAAAACATAAATATACAATATTTATTGTATATTTAAATTAATTAAAATCATTAAATAGTTTTGGCCGAATTTTAAAACCCAAAGTTAAAACCCAATTTAAAATCATTCAATTAGACAGCCCCGCCTGTCGGAACAGTAGGGTCTTGAGGGCACAGCGAAAGACCCGGAGATCAGAGATGTTACGAATATCCAGGGGCAATTCATTCCAAAGGGCAGGGGCTCCGACAGAGAAGGCTCTCCTCCTGGGTGTCGCCAGCCAGCATAACTTGGCCGATGGCACCCTGAGGAGTCCCTCTCTGTGGAAGCGAACTGGTCGGTGGGAGGCTGTTGGTGGCAGAAGGTGGTCCCATAGATATCCTGATCCTATGCCATGGAGCACTTTAAAGGTGGTATTACTTCTTTTCTTCTTTTGCTAGTTCATTTTTTTGTTCTCAAGATCCTTTCTGGACATTAAAAAATGGCCTGTCCTATGCTCATAATTTCTCATCCTTTGCATCCTTCATTAATTCTGTCAATTTTCAATCACAAAATTGACATTAATTATATGTATATAGATTTATTAAATTTTTGTGCCGCCCATCCTTTCAGAGATGACTCTGGATAGCTTACAGACATTAAAACTAGTAGACGTTAATGTCCAAAACAAATGTTTTCTAAGCAAATACTCACTGGTCATCATTCTAATTCACTTTTGGGTCTAAAAAATGGTTTATTAATTTTTTCTGCCTTTCCTGAATTTTTTCTTACTCATTTTTGTCATCTAATTGAAGATATTTGTTTTTGTTCTGGAGTAAATTACACAATTTCTACCCAGACTCCTTCCTAATTTTTCCATGTATACAATCTAATTCATAGGAGCATAAGATGATACTACCTTAAGGATTCCAGTTTTCATACGAACCTACAAGTACCTAAATTACACACAATCATGTTTTCTGATATACATTTTAAAATTAAACCTACACCTTCCCTTCCCTGCAGGTATTCCTCAATTCTATTCACAAAATCAGTCAATTCAATCAGATTTATTTTATCTTTCATTTATCTCTCAACTTCACAAACATGTCAAGTTTTTTAATTTGTTTCATTTATTAGTTCAAAGGCATCTATTCATTTGATTCACATTCAGATCCAGAATTAGCCAAAGAATCCATGACCACATTCCTCCACAGCACACTTGACTTAACCAAATACACAAAGATTAAATAACACCCAGGATTATGGATCTCATAAACCTCTGCCTAACCACATACTTCCAATTTGATGCACAAATTTACCAGCAAGATAAAGGTACATTTATGGGATCACCGCTTTCAGGACTTAGAGCAGAGGTCATCATGCAACATCTTAGAAGCCATTGCACTGCCACAAATACAACTCAAAATATGGATCAGATATGAAGGCAACACCTTCACCATAATTAAAAAGTACCAAGTACAGAACTCCCACAGAACCATCGATACAAGATTTAAGGGATTCCAGTTTATTAGAGAAGAAGCAAACAACTTCTTACTCTTCCTGGACATCCTGATCAGCAGAGACCATAACGACAAACTAAAAATGCAAGTGTACAGAAAAACCAACCATACCAACAAGGGGATCCACTACCAAAGCAACAAGCCAACCTCCCTCAAGAGAAGCTGTGTAAGGACTTTATTTAGATGAGCTTAAATTCACTGCAGCAATCCAGAACAGCAGAAAAAGGAAATGGAGCATCTATACAACACATTCCAACAAAATGGATACTCACACAACTTTATCAAAATGTCCCTGACCATTCAACCCAATACAGCACAACCAACACAAACCCTAAAGAATTACACTGCCATACATTCAAGAATATCTCAGAAACCACCAACAAACTACTACAACCATATGGAATCAGTGTAGCACACAAGCCAACTAAAGCCCTTCAAAACATCCTAAGCAAACCAAAATATCCAGCAACGCCAGAAGAAAAAACAGGAGTCATCCACAACATACAATGTAATGACTGCAACAACCACTATGTAGGACAAACAGGCAGAAGACTGGCAGAACGCATCCATGAACACCAACTGGCAGTCAGAAGACATGACGGAAACTCTTTAATTTCACAACAAATAGGCAGACTTAACCATAGTGTTAATTGGGAAAATGTGACCATCCTGGACCAAACCAAGTTCCAAAATGTCAGGGAATCTCTAGAAGTCTGGTATTCTGACAAATTAGCCATCAATAGACACATAGACATTAACAACATCTATAGACTATGAAAAAGAAACAATTAAGCACCCAAAAAGGGAACCAAAAGACCCAAGCACATCTCCACCAGCAGTCAGCACCCAGATCAGGGGTGAAATCCAGCAGGTTCTGGAGAACCAGTAGTGGAAATTTTGAGTAGTTCAGAGAACCAACAAATACCACCTCTGGCTGGTCCCAGAGTGGGGTGGGAATGGAGATTTTGCAATATCCTTCCCCCCAGGAGTGGGGAGGGAAGGGGGATTTTGCAGTATCCTTCCCCGGAGTGAGGTGGGAATGGAGATCTTGCAGTATTCTTCCCCTGCCATGCCTACCAAGCCATGCCTACCAAGCCACACCACGCCCACCAAGCCACGCCCACAGAACTGGTAATAAAAAAAATTGGATTTCACCATTGACCCAGATAAGCATAGATTAACTCCAGTACTAACATCAGACCAACAATCAAGTAAACAATACCCCAATCAAGAAACTGCCAAAGAAGCCAACAATAAACAGCGCAACCAAAGAATATCTAAGACAACCCCCACCAACACTGTCAGGGCAAGCCACTAGAATATAAACTGACAGCAAACCACACCCCTTACTAGCACTGAGGATGTTACCTAGTTTGGGTAATGAAACATATGCAAGAAAACAAGCAAGCTCAGAGAGCACCAAGACCCCTCATTTCAACCCTGAGCTACAAATATTCTCCTGTATTGGTATTTATTAGTTCAGTTATTAGTTCATACTCATTTATTTTTTTGCATTCCAAGTCACAGTTTTTCTCATCCCACAGTCATCCCTATATTATATATATAGAAAGAAAAACAAATATATATATAAATGTATATAGGTATGTATGTATGTATATATTCACTTCAACTGCCCATAAATATCCATCACACCTTCCACAATAAGCAATGCTATGCAAAAGAGAAAAAAAAAAATTCAACAGATGAAATAATGTGTGAGGACCTCCATTGCCCGTGGCCCTATATATCATATAGTACTTTTTAAGAGGATAAGAAAAGCAGACTAGATTACCAGATCTAGTCATAACTATCCCACATGCAGAATTCTCTGTTCTGGTGAGGGCAGTAAATAAGTGTCTTTTGTTACAATTTTGCCAAAATGTCACAAATGCAACCAAAACCCACATTTACCCTTTGCATGCTTATGATATTTTATGCAAGGTCAGATTTGCAAACCTACATTCCATTACCTGCGTCCAATTAGTTATGTAGCTATGGAGAAAACAGGTTGAAGAAGCGACAAATTACAATTTACAATGTAAACTACCATAGGATATTGTTTAGTTTAAGCAGCACTTAACATTAACTCTCTTGTTCCAATGGCATATTTAGAACAGGTGTGGGAACTTTCTTCCTGGCTCCCAACTTTAGTGGGTAGGCAAGGGCCATGGTGGGTCAAACCATGTCGTAAACAGGCATGGACAAACTTGTTGTGTCCACCAGCAACCAGCAGAGCTGGCAGCAGATTCAGACAGTGAGGAGGTTGGGGGAGGAACGTGAGCCAGTCCTGGAGTCTGGGGAAGGCTCGGACGAGGGCTCTGCATCAGAGGCAGAGAGGGGCCCAAGGCCATCTGGTAGTTCTTTGCTGCTCTGGAGTCTCCGGAGTCTGACATCAGCGAGGCAGAAGAACAGCGGGAGCCTGTTCCCAGTGTGTGCATGTGCAAAGCTGCCAGAAGACAGGAGCAATTAAGAAAACAGGGTCGATTTAGGAGTAAGGCTTGGAGATGATTGCCCCCTCCATAAGACATAAAAGAGAAGCGAATGGGATGTGAGCTTTTGCAGGAAGCAATTAGTTCATCTGGTCGGTAAAAGCTTTGGAAAAGTTCTGTTTGACTCTGTGCTAAGTTTGGCCTTGCTCTGTGTTTGGCAATTAGTTGTCTGGCAGCATTCCAAGGGAGATAAGGTGGGTGTTTGTAAACACTACCCTGAAAGACTGCTTAGAAGCCTTTTGGACTGTGAATGGAAATAATTCACAACTGTATAAATAAAAGAGGTTTGCCTGGACTAAAATTGTGCTGTATACTTTCTAAGGAAGCCTAGGTCAGAACAAAACTTGGAATTTTATACCAAATCTATTTTATAGTATATACTGCAATGTTTGTGTTTTTTTCTACCTCAAAATTGTGGGAAACCATGCTGTGGAGTTTTGATAATTAGATAAATCAGGAAAACAGGGGTCCCAGGGCCACTACTGGCCTCAAACTTCCATGTTTGGTTGATGACAATTGGTGCTGGATAGAAGGATTTGCATTCAACAAGACTTTTGATACCCTTTTCCTCAATTGCAAAACACCCTTCTCCAACTTAATATTCAGATGCCCTGGATTTCCATGTCCTGGATTGCCAGCCTGCATGTTAGGTTGAGGTTCAGCCAAGAGAAGATGAAATTGGGAAAGATATTTGACTTAGTTGTCCACTTGTTCTAACAACTTTTTCTTCAGTCTCTGCCTATCTCTGTCAAGGAAAAATAATTCTATCAAATTTAAGTTTTCCTTCTTAATTCATAAAGGTGTTTTGTGTCACATGCCTCAATATTCATGTGCATAACTGAAAATGCACAACTTGTGTCCGACAATGCATATTACGTATACCTATACTTATAAATGTCTTTGACCAAAGTTCTCAGTGAAAGGGAATTAATAAGGAGTGTCTGCATAAAATTTTTGCCATTTCAGCTACTCTGGGATATACTTTTCCCTTAATGCTCACCATAATCCTGTCACTGTCGATGATGGTGTTCAATCTGTGTGCAATTGTCAAAACAGTACACTGGGCAAACTTTTCACGGATTGTCTTTTGAATCAGCTCATCTGTTCTGAAATAAACAACACAAGTAATGTGAAGAGATTATGCAACAAGCAAAACAGTTTCTGCTTCTGGGCACTTTGTTTTCCTACATTCTTTGGCATAGCTCTATGTCAACATGTTTTAATAAACTGTAGCAGCAAAGTGCATGTTTGCCTTTTAGACACGTCAAAATGTTATGTTACACTACAACACAGCATGTTATAGCCCTTTGCAGGCAGTCATTTCCTAAGTGAGGAGGAGAAGGAAAATGAGGATTGCGTTTGACAGAACCCCATATTTCCTTGACTGAATCTAAAAATAAATATGCAAAATGCATGTCACTGACAAATGGGCTTTCTAGTTCATATAACCAAATTCTATAGTGTTCAGACCAAATACTATCTGCTGACAGATATAAACATATAGTAATGTTTGATAGAAAATTTGTGTAGGATTTTGGTCTGGAATTAAGGAGAAACTTCCTAACAGTGAGAACAATTAACCAGTGGAACAGCTTGCCTTCAGAAGTTGTGAATGCTCCACATCGCTGGAGGTTTTTAAGAAGAGGCTGGACAGTCACTTGTCTGAAATGTTTGAGCTGGGGGTTAGACTAGAAGACTTCCAAGGTCCCTTCCATCTCTATTCTGATTGACTGAGCAAATTTCAGGCCAGAGTATGAGTCTGAAAGTCTCCATTCTTTTAATGAATAATATTGATTGCATGAAGAGTTAATTTGGTGGAAAGACAGCTTACATCAGATCTACACAATCTTTTGACTTCAAATTTCATTAACCCAGTGGCAAGGAAATGTAAGAATTCTTGCCCCAAACATCCCAAAAGCATCATTGCTTACCATAAGGCTAGCTAATGCAACCTGTACAATCTCTCAAATAATTCATTTCTCAATGCAATGCTTCTTTCTCTGTAGTACATTTGACCTCTTTTAAATGAAACATAGTACTCACGTTCTCACTAAAATAGCTTTGATGTGTCCCCAATTATATCAGAGATAAGGCAAATTTCATGGAGAGTATATTCATAAAGAGTTGCTACAATTGTCATTAAGAATCTACACTAGTCTTTATATATTTTATTCATTTAAAAAATCAAATTAAATCACAGAGAATGGAATTTTGCCTTCTTGTTCCGTAAACAATTATCAATGTATTTGGTTCTTTATATAGTACAGATAATCCTTGATTTACATCCATAACTGAGCCTGGAATTATGCTTGTAAATTGTGCTGGTTAAACGGGTCATCAGATGGCCAATCCGATTTTTTGACATTTTTTTTGTGGCAGTTGCTAAGTAAAACTGCACTTGTTGAGCAAATGCCATGGTGATTAAGTGAATTTATTTTTCACAATAGTCATAGGCCAGCGTTCTAGAAAACCCCCCAACTCCAAGTAAAAACTCTGAAGCAAGCATTTTTCAAAGTTCTATTTACTAGAATAGGTAAACTGGCACATCTGGGAAAACCTGAATCTGAGAGGTCCATGTTTTCCCTCAGTAAATCAAAACCCCCAAAACCATCCCCTCACTCCCCCTTCACCATGTCCATAGCTCTGGACACATTTTTAGTAGAAACCGGAATAAACATCGTTTTTCTGGCAGAAAAAGTCATAAATTGCAGTCATATGACTATGGGACACTGCAAACCACCATAAATGCAAGCCAACTGCTGAGTGCCCAAAAAGCAATCAAGTGACCATGTAAGCGAGAGATGGCATCAGAACTTTGAATCCGGTACTTGTTAAGTACCTTTTTTTAGGTTCGTTGTTCCTAAAAGTGGCTGGTTTTAAGTTAAGGGCTACCTGGATTAGAAATATCATTTTTATGCATTTTCTTAAATCTAATATTGAACTGTAAGCCACCCAGAGTCAGTTGCTGAGATGGGTGGCTATAGAAAGAGATGATAGATAGATAGATAGATAGATAGATAGATAGATAGATAGATAGATGGATGGATGGATGGATGGATGGATGGATGGATGGATGGATGGATGGATGGACGGACTGACTGATGAGAAGAGCATTCAAGCAAGAAGGTCTGGAGAAGGTCCATTGATAATGAATGTGATATTTCGCCAAAATGAACAGTTGAATTTCTCTAAGAGTAATCAGCTTTTCCATTTGTGTTCATCTGTAATGATCTACTTATTATGTTTATAATTATTAACATCGTTGCTTTTATAATGGATTTTTACCACTGCAGTAAGCATTTTTCTAATTATTTTTTATATCAGACACTGAGACTCTATGTAAATTATAATGACAATGGACCAACATTATAATAATACCAGAGATAAATTGTAGTTCCTGTTTACCTCGGGTCAACATTTGCAGTTGCTTCATCGATGATCAGTATTTTATTCTTCTTCAGGATAGCCCTGGCCAGGCACACCAGTTGTCTTTGGCCAACGCTAAAATTAGATCCAGATTCTGCCAATTGTGCCTCCAGTTTGTCAGGTAGGTCTTCTATTGCTTCTTTCAATTGGACCTATAAGCAGTTATAACAGTAATTCTAAGTTAAATTTTTGTAAGAGATCATTAGTCATTAGACTAGACTAAACTAGAATAGAATAGAATAGAATAGAATAGAATAGAATAGAATAGAATAGAATAGAATAGAATAGAATAGAATAGAATTTTTTATTGGCCAAGTGTGATTGGACACACAAGGAATTTGTCTTGGTGCATATGCTCTCAGAGTATATAAAAGAAAAGATACATTCATCAAGAATCATTAAAGTTCATTAAGATGCTTTGCATCTAATTTCAAAATATCCATACCATCTTATTTTTAAAAAATGCTTTAAAATAAGCAGGTCATAGTTTATTATGGGTTTATGACATTGAGGGGGGGGGCAAGCCAGAATTCAGTGATTGAAATGAGTTAACAAGATATGGATATAGCTGATACGATTAGTTCAATTTGGGATACATTACCAGATGCCCATTGTACATACTGAACTCTTCCATCAGTGGCAGTTAACATGCTCACTAATGAGGGACCAGAGCATTTATAACCCCAAATATTTAAAGGACATCAGATTTCCTGCTCAAGTTAACAACACTCTTGTTCAGGTTATTCTAACTTACCGTGATGTTAGAACAAGGCTACCAAGAACCAATTAACAGAACAGAAGTCTTCTGTATATCATAATACATTGGAAAGCATTGTTTTCCAGAAAAATTACCTCTTCTAAAGAATTCCACAAGTCTTCATCACTATATTCATTGAAAGGATCCAAATTCTTCCTCATAGTCCCAGCAAATAAAGCTGGCTCCTGAGACACAAGAAATTTCCAGGCAAATTATTTTAATTAATTATCCTTGATGTTTCTATAACAAAAGTTAAAGTCTCTTAGCATGTTTAGGATAACTAAAAATAGAATATGGCAGGAAGGCATGTTCAAACAGAAATGTAATAAAGTCCCAACAACTATTTTTTTTTCCAAAGCAAAATTGTGAGATAGATAGACAGGCAAAAGAATATCGTAGAGGTGTTAAAAGAAAATAGAAAGAAATCTTAATTGCTTTTCTTCCCAACAATTTTTCCATAAGCAACTTTCTCTTCCCAAACATTTCCACTCCGAAGGATTACTAAAATGTATTTGTCTTCCATATCTGTATCTAATAAGGGTTTATTTTGTGACCATTCAAAGTTACAACGGCACTGAAAAAAGTGAGTTATGACCATTTTTCACACTTACGACCATTGCAGCATCCCCATGGTCACGTGATCAAAATTCAGATCTTTGGCAAGTGGTTCCCATTTATGATGGTTGCAGGATCCCAGGATCATGTGATCACCTTTTCTGACCTGCTGACAAACAAAGTCAATGGGAAATCCAGATTCACTTAACAACCATATTACTAATTTAATAAATGTAATGATTCACTTAACAACTGTGAAAGAAAAGTTGTAAAATGTTGCAAAACTCAGTTAACAAATGTTTCACTTAGCAACATACAGTTTGGGCCCAATTGTGGTCATAACTCGAGGAATACCTGTACGGTACAGTATTTTACTATAATACAGGTAGTCCTCAACTTACGAGCACAACTGAGCTCAACATTTATGTTACTAAGTGAGAAATTTGTTAAGTGAGTTTTGCCCCATTTTATGACTTTTCTTGCCACATTTGTTGCATGAATCTCTGCAGTTGTTAAATTAGTAAGCCGGTTGTTAAGTGAACCTGTTTTCCCCTTTGACTTTGCTTGTCAGAAGGTTGCAAAAAATGATCAAGTGTCCCCAGGACACTGCAACCGTCATAAATGTGAATCAGTTGTCAAGCATCTGGGGATGCTGCACCGCTCCTAAGTCTCAAAAATGGTCATAAACTGGTTCGGTGATGTCATATCGTCATATCGTCACCACTAGAGGCTCAGGAGAACCGGGCCGAACCGGGAGGAACCCACCACTGCATCTCAACATCTTTTTTGTATTGAGACCAGAACTGGATGCAGAAAATCCAACTGTGGTCCTACCAGCATGGTGTAGAGCAGTACTATCACTTCATTATTTTGACACTGTCCCTCTATTGATACATCCTAGGACTGCATTGGCTTTTTTGGCAGTTGCAGCACACTGCTGGCTCATATTTAAAGGATGGTCCACTAGGGACACTTAGATACCTTTCCCAGTTACTACTATTGAGCCACCTATTCTATATCCATGCATTTGGTTTTTCCTGCCTAAGTGCAGGACCTTATTTTTCTCACCACTGAACTACATCGTGTTGGATAGGGCGCACTGCTCCAGGCAAGATCCTTCTGGATCTTGAGACTATCTTCTAAAGTATTAGCTGTAATTAGAGTTTGTTATTATGATTTAATAAGAATTATTATAGAATTAAATAATTAATTATTAAAATTAGAAATATCTAATTCAGTTCAGCTACTTTTTTTTTTTTTTTGCCATTTCAGACACTTTCTGTATCCACGTTTCCTCCTCCTATGAGAAGCTAAATTTACTTTGTCAGAGTGTTTACAGTGTGACTTACTATTTTGAGACAACCAAGGAGCAAAATAAAGGACACAGAGGTTTGTATTACAAACAGTGGTTTATATCAGGGGTGAAATCCAGCAGGTTCTGACAGGTTCTGGAGAACCGGTAGCGGAAAGTTTGACTAGTTTGGAGAATCAGCAAATACCACCTCTGGCAGGCCCCAGAGTGGGGTGGGAATGGAATTTTTGCAATATCCTTCCCCCAGGAAGAGGGAGGGAATGGGTATTTTGCAGAATCCTTCCGCTGGAGTGGGGTGGGAAAGGAGATTTTGCAGTATCCTTCCCCTGGAGTGGGATGGGAATGGAGATTTTGCAATATCCTTCCCCTGCCACACCCACCAAACCATGCCCACCACACTCACCAAGCCATGCCCACAGAACCAGTAGTAAAAAAATTTGGATTTCACCACTGGTTTATATACAAGACTTCTATATACATACATACACGTGATAGGCACATACCAGGCAATCAATCAATCTTCAACTCTACACGGAGAACTACAATGCACATGACAGATGACAGAACACAACGAGGAGAGTGATACATGAGGAGAGAGAGAGACGCCCTCTCACGGCCTCCCTTATATAGACATCTTCTTAAAGCGGCAATAACCCTGCTGACTCATCCTCAATCCATCATCCTGGTCTACAGCCTTATAGCAGCTGGTCAGCTTTAAATCTTCATTACCCTGACATACTTCTCTAAATCTCAGAGTTCACGCATAGATGAGGATACGGGCACCAAACACATGGCATCTGCAGACTTGTCACATCCCAGTTCAAAATGCTACATGGGCGCACGATTGAAGGCATATTTATGACTTGTTTCATCAAAAGATAGACCTTTCTGATGTTTCTCACACATTACAATAATATCCCAGTCTTAAAATTCAATCAAATTTAATGCCAGCTCCCCTCCCAAAATAAACAGAATGAGGCAGGGACGGAGAGGAATAAATGCTTGCCTGGAATAAATGCTTAAAAACCACTTATAATAATCAGCAGTAATAATTATAATAACACATTTGTAAAATTAAGCCCAAAAGGTTAAACTATGCACTTCTAAACTGCAATTTGCCCCATAGGTGACTACTATACTTGTGAAATGACTTCAGTTTCTTCTGACAGGCTCACTTAAAGATACACATTGCAGCTTAGCATAATAGTTCAACATAGCCTAGAGGTATTCAACTGTCCCAAGTGTCTTTAATCGTTTTCATAAGAAGCATATACACAGGTAAAGAAAGAGCGTAGTGCAATGATTAACTGCCAACAGATTACAACCCATGAAGCTATTTTTATTTTAATGGGATAGTAAAGTATGCCAAGTTGCAAAGCTCTTTGGATAAAATATTTTCAATGCATTTCTGCCAAGTTATAAGGTCCGTAAAATCATCACAGGCAGAAGAAATGTGCAGTATAATATGGTTTTGTATTCCCCTTTAAAATACAAGACAATGAAATAGATTTTTCATTTCAAAAACAGCAATTCCTGCCGTATAATTTTAATTACAAAAGCTTTTGATCAAATGGGCTCAATAAAGCATTAAAAATGCTGATTTTTTTTAATATAAAAAAAATCTTATTTTTTTTAAAAATCTATCAATGGTATTAGATGTACATTTCAGATATTGTGGAGATGAACTTCCATTTCAATTTTTTAATAGTTTAGCAAAATGGAAAATTTCAATTCATAAAATCTTTATAACTGCTATAAAATAGTAGGAGAACATGAGTATTGCAGAAGAAGATAAGGATAGTTTTAATTTCAACTCCGGGCAAATAGTTATATAAAAATTGCCTGCTTCATGAGAGGAAGCTCATAAGCAAAACCTATAAAAATGATAAATTACAGTCAGAGAAATAGATATTTTTGCCTCAAAGGACTGATGTTAACAGTCCTTAATAAAAGTTTCATGAAGTAGCATTTAAAGCAGTGTTCCTCAACCTTTCCGGCTTAGTGGCCCGGTCTGGGGGTGGTGGAGAGAAGGGATGTTTTATGTGAGGAGCAGATGCGCGCATAGCTTGCGCAAGTAGGGCTGCGAGCACCGGCCCCCGCCACTCACACGAGTCAGGCTATGTGCATGCGCACCGACCTGCCACTCACACAGCCCAGTTACAAATAGGTCATGGCCCCGTAGTGGGCCATGGCCCACTGGTTGGGTACTCCTGATCTAAAGAACCAGTTAGAACCATATTTTTCAACTCTGGCAACTTTAAGACGTGTGGACTATAAATGTGATAATCAATCAATCAATCAATCAATCAATCAATCAATCAATAAATTCCCAGAATTCTCTAGCTGGCAAGCTGACTGGATAATTCTGGAGGTTGAAGCCTACACATCTTAACATAGTTGAATATCTCACTGAAGTTTCCCTGCGATCCAAGTAGAGTTGTCTGGAAGATGAGTCATGGCAACTGGATCCCTTTTTTGGTTTGAAACATTTCACTATATTTGGATAAGCAGCAAAATGTTTCAAACCAAAGAAGCAGAAAAGTCCAGTTGCCATGCTTCATCTTCCAGATTCCAAGGTTTAAAAAACACTAAATTAGAAGTTTTTCCAAGACACATTTTGAGTAATTCATAAAATATTTCCTATAAAATCTTCACAAAAATTCACACACGCCCACATATACATGTGAGTTTTCACCCAGAGAAAAGTCAACATGCATTTTAATTGAGTGTTTTTATAGTCCCTTACAGTTGTTGAGACTCATGCGACATTTAAATCTGATTAATTAATTAATTTCCATATTGGACATGTTTTGGATATCCATTTTTATTATATAATTGCACTGCAAAATTTGGAGAAATGCAAAAACTTAACAATGTATCTGTTCCGGTTCATGTAATCACTCACAAGGTCATATTAGACTGATTTATACTAAAATGCAACAAAAGGCATTATTTATCTGACTCTGAATTGAATTGGGTGGTCAGAAGCAGGTTTTATGCATAATTCTACCAGCGTATTCATACTTAGAGATGCATGAAGGAATGTGATAGCAAAATACATTAGCCTTCCTATTGCATCCACAACAGTAAAGTAGAATGTATGGAATTTTTATTGAACACTATGCATTATTTGCATTTTAAGGTTGCTTGAAATCAGCATAAGAAGCAGCTGATAGATGGGAGCTAGAAAAGACTTCTATAGGTTTGCTTTTCGATGGGAGAGATAAAGATAACTCAGTTTAGCAAACAATATTATATAACAATATAGTGCCTTACATGAATGAAATCAACCAACTAATTAAAGCCCATCTCTAGAATCAACTTCAAAATATTTTATTTCGATGCAGTAATGAATATTGAGAAATCTTATCCCAAAACCTTAAGTCTCACTTGTCAATCAAATTTAACCTGTCAAACAAATCAAATCAAATCAGTGTGCATGTGCTGTCTTCCAAGGCAGCACATGCACACATCAAAACCATGGTTAATGGAGGCCAAAAACAGAATTAGAAAATATATTGCGTATGGTCATATTATGCAGCTGTTTTCAATACAAACACAATAACCCAATGTAGTTTGTCATTGGTATTATCAGCATCTTCCAAGCCCAAATTTACAACTCTGAGGACTTTCATTCTCTGCTGACAATATGAAAAAAGCTTCCTTTAATGTAAAAAATAAGTAAATACTTTTAGACAACTGAAACTCTCCCTCGTGAATTTAATTAAATCTTGTTTATACTGACAAGATGATAGACAAGGCATTTTTTGTTTTATTTTGAAGTGTAAGTCTTATACAAGGAATTTAATATATCAATCATGTATGTAACAATAAATAGGATGGAAAATAAAATTAGGGTAGGAAAACATCCTCCCTTCTAAAAATGTTTTTTTTTTCCCCCTGAGGGAAAAAAAAGCCTCCAGTATTATACAATACGGTCCCCACCTGAAATAGCTAGGAAAGCTTTCAAAACCTTGCAGCTATTGAATGAACAGTTCGTCATCTGTTTTCCGGAGAAAAGAATATTGTGCAAATACAAAGGCAGAAGAATTTAAGTCCATGTAAAGTCCTCTTAGGTACAAAAGGGTCATCAACTTCACTCAGCAGCGCTACTGTGCACTAATGAAACCTTCAGCATTCAGAAATAAAGAGGGAGCTTGCATTAGGCCGCAATCCAATTGTATTTATTTCCTAGTAATAGCATACCTACCTCTTTCTGTGCTTTCTATTTTTTGAGCAGAGGGGAGAAGGGAGGACAAGGCGAAGAGGCTTTTTAGAGAACCATGCTGCTTGCCTAACTTTGTTTTAAATCACGGTAGTTCATAACAAAAAGTAATAAAATCAAATAAAATCAAAGAGAAAACGGGGGGAGGGGAGCCTCACAGAAAGCCCTACAGCCCTCATTCCAGGCGTCGTGTCATATAATACGGGTTCTTTCCTCAGCCTCAGTCCAGGTCAGGTGAAACAGTACATAACTCAACAAAGGGCAACTGGCAGAAGCTCCCTGCTCCAGTTTTTGAGGGAGAATCTGGCTGTTAGGTTGCTGACTTATGTTTTGTGTTTTTTGTAATGTTTAGCCTTGACAAGGTAGACATAAGAGCCATGGCAGCGCAGTGGTTAGAATGCAGTATAGCAGGTTAACTCACTGCTCATTCCGGGAGTTCGATCCTGACCGGCTCAAGGTTGATTCAGCCTTTCATCCTTCCAAGGTCAGTAAAATGAGGACCCAGATTGTTGGGGGCAATATGCTGACTCTGTAAACCACTTAGAGAGGGCTGTAAACAGGGGTGGGTTCTACTTACGTTTACTACCGGTTTGCATCGTGCTCACGCTCTTCTGCACATGGATAGAAGCATCTGCGCATGCGCAGACTGCCTATAATGACGTCCGGGTCAGTGGGTGGAGCCTCCCGCCGGTTTTAGTACCGGTTCTTGCGAACCAGTCCGAGCTGGGGGCAACCCACCACTGGCTGTAAAGCACTGTGAAGCAGTATATAAGTCTAAATGCTATTGCTATTACAGGGAGGAAGAATTAGAGCCCGATCTCAAAAATATATTATGAGTTTCATAGTAACAATCCTGTGACAATTGCCACATATTAAATTGATATAAGGAAGTCCTCAACCTACGACCATACAGTAATTGAGCCCAAAATGTATGTTGTTAAGTGAGAAATTTGTTAAGTGAATTTTGCCCCATTTTACGACTTTTCTCACCACATTCATTAAGTGAATCTGGTTTCCCCCTTGATTTGATTTGATTTGATTTATTAGATTTCTATACCGCCCTTCTCCCGAAGGACTCAGGGCGGTGTACAGCCATATTAAAACACATATAAATATACAAAATTTAAAACAATTTAAAATTGAATATATAAAAATTTGGCCCATAGATTAAAACACACATACACCCATTCTAAAATTCGTATTAGGCCAGGCCGGCTTGCTGGAACAGGAGGGTCTTTAAGGCGCGGCGAAAGGTACGCAGATCGGGGATGAGATGAATCTCAAGAGGCAGCTCATTCCAGAAGGCTGGTGCCCCCACAGAGAAGGCTTTCCCCCTGGGTGTCGCCAGTCGGCATTGTCTGGCCGACGGCACCCTGAGAAGCCCCTCTCTGTGGGAGCATATTGGCTGGTGGGAGGCTGTTGCTGGCAGCAGGCGGTCTCGTATATACCCCGGTCCTAAGCCATGGAGCGCTTTAAAGGCTGACCTTGACTTTGCTTGCCAGAAGGTTGTAAAAGGTCATCACATGACTCTGGGACATTGCAACCGTCATAAATATGAGCCAGTTGCCAAGTGTCTGAATGTTGATTACATAACCATGGGGAAGCTGCAATGGTCACAAGTGTGAAAAATGGTCATAAGTCACTTTTTCAGTGCTGTCGTAACTTCAAACAGTCACTAAATGAACTGTTGTAAGTCGAGGACTACCTGTATATCGTGAAATAGACACCCGTTTCATTTTTCCTTGAAACCACATTACAACCAGAATGTACAGGGATTAGAGGATCTTTTGACTTTCTCCTTCTGAGATAAGAGAGAAAACTTTAAATTTGGTTTGCCAAAATTTATGACTGACATCTATCTCCATGCCTTCCCAGAATTTAACAGATTAACAGATTTGGAAAAGGCCTTGTAGATCATCTAGTCCAACCCCCTGCCTAAGTAGGAGACCCTACACCATTTCTGACAAATGGCAGTCCAATCTCTTCTTGAAAGCTTCTAGTGACGAAGCTCCCGCAACTTCCGAAGGCAAGCTGTTCCATTGGTTGATTGTTCTCACTGTCAGAAAAATTCTCCTTATTTCTAGGTTTAATCCTTAGGTGCGTTGGAAAATAGCTTGACCCCCTCCTCTCTGTGGCAGCCCCTCAAATATTGGAACACTGCTATCTCCCCTGGTCTTTCTCTTCACTAGACTAGCCATGCCCAGTTCCTGTAACTGTTCTTCATATGTTTTAGCCTCCAGACCCCTAATCATCTTGGTTGCTTTTCTCTGCAGACTTTCTAGAGTCTCAACATCTTTTTTATAGTGTGGTGAGCAGAACTAGATGCAGTATTCTTATATAAGTGAGAATTTTGAGGTTAAAGGAGCAAAAGTGATCAAGGCAATCATGAGCCTAAAAGGCCCAATGGTTCCTTTGCATGTCACTAACCGAAGTTAAATTGACTGATCCCTCTCCCCCCCCTTCCCCCGCCAGTCACCATTAAGCAACCTGTTTCTTAATTTAAAAAGCAACCACAATATAAAAACATATTTGCTCTGCTCCCATTCCTGGGGCAGCACCCCACCCCTGGGTCTTCATGGGGACTGACAGGATTGTTTTTCAATCTGAAAAACACAGTTCACAGGAAAAATGACCAGACATATTCCTTTAAAGGGGATGCACTGCAGCTTCTTTGAGGCAATGGTACTGTTCAGTGTGTTTATATTTTTACATATATAGAATGGCACAAACGAACCTGAGAGATTGGAGCCGATACCTGTTCAAAGCAACAACTGAGTTAATTTAGCACATTTCAGAAACATATGAGCAAAAATGTTCTCGCTCCAAATAGTCATTTTGAGTCTTCCAAACCTATTGCAAATAAAACATTCACATTCTGGAATATCTCGAAAGCCAAATAAAAATTATCAATTTTCTACTAGCTGAAATTATATTCTCAGTGAAGTTTAAAATGCCAGGAAAGGACTCTGATTCACAACACCCCTAGCCTATAAAATCTTGTTTGTTTTTGTGGCGTATATTTGAGAGGACAAAGACACTGCGGGTGCACGCACGCCCACATGTGTGCGCGCACAATCACCATCTCTTCTATTTGTCAGAATAATTTCTGCTCTAAAATATTTTATGTCCACAAAACAGAATGCATCATTCCAGTCTTTAAACCAAATTCAATCTGTAGTCATAACTAATGGCTGAAAGAAAGCTGTTTGGGCATGACAGAAACATAGATAATGAACCTCTTAAAATAGTCATAATAATTTCACTTCATTTTCAGTCATCATTCAAGAAGAAAGGATTAACATACACAGAGACATCACGCTACTCTATAAGATTCCTGGCATATAACCAGCAGAGTGCAGAAGAAAGATAAAGAAAAATTTACAACCCTAAGGTTTCTGGAGAGCGCTGGATGGACTTCTAATATAGGCTGATGCGCAAAGCAGACCAATACCTGAGGTATGATTGAAATTTTCTTCCTCAAGTCATGAAGTCCTAGTTCTGATGTCAAATATTTATCAATCCAAATTCTTCCTTGGGGCTCGGCCAACCGGAAAAGAGCAGCTATTAGAGAGCTTTTGCCAGCTCCTGTTCTTCCCACAATTCCAACCTGAAAGACAAAAAATAGAAAAACATATACCGGGGGAAGAAGACATTTATAAAGCACTACTTCTAATTATCTTGTTTATTTTGCCTCTTGTAAGGCAAGATATACACGGTAGATATTAGGCAACAAAAGATGCATAAATATTGTCTTTAAAAGAAAAATTTTCCTCAGCATTTGAGTGATCTAAACCTATTGTTTGATAATATAGTGATTTTAGTTCATTTTTCTCATGAAAAGTAGGAATCAAGCAAATATTTTCCCGGTTTAGCACATGTGAAGAGATTGCTTATTAGAACTTCTACTCTCGCCCTTAAAGCATAACTATCTTATTGCAGGTGGTTAAATTGAACTCAAATTTTAATGTAATTTTATATGTTTCTGAAACTATGTGTGTCTAGCTTCAGGCCCTGGGTAGCTTATAAAACATTATTAATATTTGCTTTTGGATAGGAATAACGGTGCTTTTGACTCACAATCCTCAAGAGTAAATATTATGAGTGGTCTTTTTATAAACCTTCTGTCATAACATCAGGAGTACAGGAATAAACATATATTTCTTTTACATTAAGAAAGTGAAACAGGCTTCTTAGATCCAAAGTCTACTTATCAATTTCTAGCTCAGCCATAAGAGGCAATAATTAATTATATTGAGTTTATTTATCAGCAAAGAGAGGGAGAACAAGAGCCTTGGTGGTGCAGCAGACTAAAGTGCTGTTAAATAGCACCAGCTGCCTGCAATTAATGCAAGTTCAAATCTCACCAGGCTCAAGGTTGACTCAGCCTTCCATCCTTTCGAGGTAGGTAAAATGAGGACCCGGATTGTGGGGGCAATAAACTCACTTTGTATAAAAAAGACCACCACTTATGGGGGGGGGCGAAAGCCCTACTAAGCAGGTATATACAAAAGTATGAAGGCTATTGCTTAACGCATTGTAAGCCGCCCTGATTCTCCGGAGAAGGGCGGCATATAAATTGAACCAATAAATAAATAAATAAATAAATAAATAAATACATACATACATACATACATACATACATACATACATACATACATTAATCAACTGATTAAGTGCCCTCAAGTTGGTGTCAATTTTTATTTGAGTGACAGACCAATTCTCTCCAAGATGATCTGTCTTCAAGTTGGCCTTTTAGTTTCATTTATTGCAGCTGAAAACTGAATCTATCCACCTTGCTCTCTTCTTCTTTTCTTTCTTTCAACTTTTACTAGAATTATGAGCTTCTCAAAGGAACTGCCAAAATATTACAGTTTGAGCCCAATCACTGATGTCTTGAGTGAAAATTCTGAATTGATTTTTAGGTTTTCTGTAGTTATCCATCATATTCTCAACAGTCTTCTCCAACATCAAAATTTAAAAGCATCGGATATACTTTCTATCTTACTTTTTCAAACTCCAGATTCTGTAATCCTATGGGGTCATGAAGAAAACCTGAATAATTCTAATCTTTGTAAGTACAGTCAGGCCTGGACATCTGAAGATTTTTTTCTAATATTGTCCTCTTTAAATTCAAATAACTACATTGAAACTGAATTAGGCTTCAACCATAATTAAAATATCTAAATTGTGCTTAAAATTACTCTGATTTCCTAAAATATAGGAATGCTAAAATAGATATTACATTTTAGAATTGCTATTTTAAAAAAACATTATCCCTGATGTTGTCCCTGATGTTTGTGCCATATCAGAAGAGGAAAAAGATCAAAAACAAGATGTGTAAATCTAACGATTTTTTTTCAAGTGAACTGAGAAGTCAACAATGTGAATTTCACATGATGAAAACCATTTAATTCCATTTCTGCATTAACACCCTTTTTTTAAAAAAAAAAAATCATCTGCCTGAAAGTTTGTCAATAATATGAAGATACCTTTTTAATGCATTTCTCATATTACCTGCATCTTTAATTGGGAAATGCTGCTTTTTATCTCCATCAGTATGTATGTATGTATGTGTGTGTGTGTGTGTGTATTAAAAAAGACATATACTGTGAAATCAGGAGCAGTGAGATTCTGAATTCACATTCACTAGGAGGTGCTACCTAGCATAAGATCACAGCAGCATTCAGAAATTCTTCAAACTTCCCTTTCAGCCGCCAAAGCCCACCAGCTATTTTTCTTCACTTGGGGCAATGTGATTTACCCTCCTCTTTGCATCAACAGAATAATTGGAGAATTAGTTGAGACAAACTCTCAGCAACCTCTCTTTCAGTTGTCTTAATCGCTGCAGATGGAAGCTCCTGAGGGAACTTGGCTAATCATAAAAAACACTAAACAAAGTCAGATCTATCTTTTCTTAGAAGGGAAACCTGAAGAAGATCCCAGAAATGTAGCCCAGACTGTCACAGAATACACTCCCAAAAACAACAGTGACAAACCACTTCCTTATCCCTGCTAACAAAACAGCCCAGGTGTGTTCATTTAGCAACATGTTCCCTCTCTTTCTGGCATGTTCCTTTGGTTTGTTACTTTGTATGGCATCTGAATCCTCATCCGCTATTAGAAGAGCGTATGGCTACTGCAAGTGTTGGCCCAAAGGCAAATAAAAGTATGAAAGTGATAAAGAGCATAAATCTGTAGAGCAGCGGTTCTCAACCTGGGGGTCGCGACCCCTTTGGGGGTCGAACGGCCATTTCACAGGAGTCGCCAAAGCCCTCTCTCGCTCCCCCCCCACGCCTTCACTCACCCTCACCCTCTGCCTCTGCTGGATCGCCCGGTCGCCGTTCACTTACCCCGCCCACTCCCAATCTATTGCTGCCTCCGGAGTCCCAGCTGATGGCTAGAGGGAAAAAAAACTTTAAATTCTTGCCGCGGGGCTTCAAAGAGCCGCCCTACTCTCAGCTGTTTTGCGGAGGGCTCTGTTGCTAGCTAGCTGCAAAGAGGTAAATTCCTGGAGCAGATTTTTTTCCCCCTAACTATGCTGAAAAAGCGAAATTGAAAGTAAGCAGGGTCTTTGGTGCAACGTGACAAAATGAGGCAGAGAGATTTCTTTTTCCTCACCAAAAAAGGTAGGTGCAAAACTGCAAACAATGGGAAATTTAGGGCAAGAGGAGGTTCAAGATTTTAAAACATAGAAGAAAAAAAGCTCTATTTAACTAGGGAATTGTAATAATTGAGATACTATTAATTGCATATTGTGTTGAAAGCAGAAATGGTTAAGTTGTGGTTTGGAGGAATATATGGGGGAAATTATTTGGTTTATTATTATTGGTAAATATAATTAATTGATTTGTAAGAAATTGGATTGCATGGAAATAATTGGAATATTCATGTTCATGTTGATTAATATACAAAAAAAGTAGTTATATAACTAATTGATTTATATTAAAATGTTGAATTTATATTAAACAACTGTAATATTACATAATTAACCAATGTGAGGATGGATATAAAAATAGATGACAATGAGAAGGGTTATAATATAGAAGGGAAAGAGGCTTCCGTTTCCCCATGAAGTCATCTCTGCAAAATAAAAGCCACGCTTTTTATATAATAGATTTATATAAATAGTAGCTTAAATAGTGGAATTATTCTTTCTGAGATTAACCGGGAATTAGAGGGATGAAGCAGCATCTTACAAAATGGGAGGTACATCTGGGAAGAAAACTGAAGAGGCTCATAACCTAACCAGAAACCTAACCTCCCTCCCTAATTGCTCTTTCAAGCTGTTTTACAGTATTTTTAAAACCATCCTTGCAAATCCTCCAGTGCTTCAGGTAGGGCAAACAATTCTGGGCGGAATTAATCTAAGGTTTCAGATTTATTATATTTCTGTCCTGGACCAGCCTAGGATAATATTTTAAACTAGAAAATCATGAATCTTTCCAAACCTAATATCTACTGCATAATACAAACTATAAAAAGGTAATTAAAAATTAAATTTATAGCCTAGAACTAGAAAATCCATTTTATAAGACTTAAATCTACAAAGTACAACTAAGTAACATGATTCTTATTAAGCATACATACAGTAACATATCAAAATTAATGTATAAGCTAATCGTTGCAAACTATTACAGAATTAATAAAGTGTGATACAATATTATTCTACACTATCTATAAAAATAAAAATATGAAAGTAGTAAAATATTCATGCTAATAGGCAATAACACTGTTTAATACTGTTAACCAAAATGACTAGAAAACTAAAGAGAGAAATACGCTAACACAATTACATAATAATTTTATAGTCTCTATTAATAGTCAGTTCCTAAAAGATTTCACAAGCTGCTGCAGGAAGCATAACAATCTATATGTTAGAATTATAAGCAAAAATAAGTGGAAAGACCTAAATTGATCATCATGAACAGCTTGTAAATACTGAGGAAATGAGAGATTGTCAAATGTCTCTATAAAATGGGTGCTAAAGAAAGCCAATTATTTCAGTATGCTAAAATTCAAAGGGACTTAAGAGGTTGCTCTCAGCATTTAAAATATCTCACAGTCTAAGTCTCCTGAGAAATTGGCCCCAAATCACTGAATGAGGATGAATTTGAATGTAGGTATTCCCAGTCCTAGTCTAACATCCTAAATATTATTCCAGACTATCATAATATATTATTAATCATTAATATAATAATACAAATCATTTAACAACATATTAAGAGCCTTGGTGGCGCAGCAGATTAAAGCACTGTTAAGTAACACCAGCTGCCTGCAATTACTGCAAGTTCAAATCTCACCAGGCTCAACGTTGACTCAGCCTTCCATCTTTCGAGGTAGGTAAAATGAGGACCCGGTTTGTGGGGGCAATAAACTGACTTTGTATAAAAAAAGAACACCGCTGGGGGGGGGGGGAAGCCCTACTAAGCAGGTATATAAAAAAGTATGAAGGCTATTGCTTAACGCACTGTAAGCCCCCCTGAGTCTCTGGAGAAGGGCGGCATATAAATCGAACCAATAAATAAATAAATAAATAAACAAACAAACAAAAAACAAACAAATAAATAAATAAATAAATAAATAAATATTATTCCAGAATCTAATTGATTATTCTTCAGTGAAAAATCAGATTAAAGTTGAACAAAGACAGACATTTTTCAATTTCTCAGGTCAACCAAAGTTGATTTGAGTAGTAATTGCAGCACAAATAAACATTGTATTTCATCTCCTCCTTAGACCCTAAAACAGCTAAAATGAGAGACCAGAATGAGAAATTTGATCTTTGCCCAAATGACAAAGAATTGGGAATGTATAGAAGAGATGGGGAATGGCAGAAAAGAAGTTCCCTGAGACTAACATTACTGATCCTCCTAAAAACAAAATACAAATAGTCCTTGACTTACAATAGTTCATTTAGTGACTGTTCAAAGTCTCACTAAATGACTTTAGTGATAATACTAGAGTGTTGTCTATAGTGCTGTAGTTACAACAGTGCTTAAAAATGTGATTTATGACTGTTTTTTCACAGTTATAACCTTTGCAGCATCCCCACAATCATGTAATCAAAATTCAGATGCTTGGCAATGGGTTCATACTTACGACGGTCGCAGTGTCCCTGGGTCATGTGATCCCCTTTTTGTGACTTTCTGACAAGCAAAGTCAATGGGGGAGCCAGATTCACTTAACAACCGGGTTACTAACTTATTAGCTGCAGTGATTCACATAACAACTGTGGCAAGAAAGGTCATAAAATGGGGCAAAGCTCACTTAAACTAATGTCCCACTTAACAATGGAAATTTTGGGCTCAATTGTGGTCGTAATTTGTGGACTACCTGCATGCAATGTGTGAAGTCAAGCCTATGGAACCCAACCACAATTAAGATTCTTTTTACGATTCTGACTCAAAAGTAAAATTAACACATACATACTTTTTCTTTAGATTTAATTAAAGCAGACAAATGTTTCAACACTAAAGGACCATTTGCACTGTAGGCGAAGTTCACATCATCAAATGCAATCACTCCTTCAGTTGGCCACTCCGCTGGTGGACGTTTGTGTGTATGCCATGATGCTTCCTGTTCCAATTCGGTGTATTCCATTACTCGTTCCACTGATATCATCTGAAAAAGAGAAACAAATGTTGATTCCTAGGTATTTATTGATTTACAATGCAGTAATCACTTGAAGATTGATTTTCAGGTTTTAAGTAGAATCAGATTCAATACTTGCCACAATTATTTCTACCTAAATAAGCAGACTTGTGGGAAAAAGGGGAGGAGCATAAATCAAATAAATAAGTGAGAAAATTTTTTTGAAGCAATCTTATTTTCATATATCTGGAACAAACGTACAATATATCTTGGTGTTAATCTATCTCTGAAAACAACACTCCACAACTGTGGGACTTATAAACCTTAATTATATCCCTCTTCAGTGTGCACTGGAGTAAACTACAGCAATTAAAAATATAAAGTACACCTTTTTCTTTACCAGTGTGCTACCCTGCATATCTTAAATAATCCTTGTGTTAGTAGTGGACAACTGGAAGCTTGCTTTGTAGAGCTGTTCACAGTGTATTAGTTTACAAACATGAAATAGAACAGAGAACATAGAAGATAGAACAATAGTGTTAAGAAGGGACTTTGGGGACCCTCTAATCCAGCTCCTTGCTCAAGCAGGAGAGTTTATACCACAGATCTCCAGTCTCTTCTTGAAAACATCCAGTGATGGAGCTCCCACAACTTCCAGCGATAAGCCATTCCACTGATTAATCATTCTCACTGTCAGGAAATTTCTCCCTAGTTCTAAGTTGAAGATCTCTTTAATGAACTTCCACCCTTATTTCTTGTCCTGCCTTCAGGGCTTTGGAGAATAGGTTGACCCCCTCTTCTTTGTGACAGCCTCTCAAACACCGGAAGACTACTATCGTATCACCCATACTCCTCCTTTTCGTTAGACGGGGTATACCTAGTTTTTTCAATCTTTTATTGTATGGTTTAGCCTCTAGATTCCTTATCATATTTGTTGCTCTTCTGTGCACTCTTTCTAAGGTCTCAGCATCTTTTTTGTATCATGATGACTAGAACTGGATGCAGTATTCCAAGTGTGGTCTCACTAATGCAGTATAAAGTGGTACTACCATAGCACTTCATGTAATCTTGAAACTATCCCTCTGTTGATGCAATCTAGGACTTCATTAGCTTTTTTGATAGCTGCAGCACACAGCTTGCTCATACCTAAATGACGGTCTACTAGAATATCTAGATCCCTCTAAAGTTGCTACTACTGAGCCAGGTACCATCCATTTAATAGCTGCACATTTGGTTTTTCTTGCCGATGTGTAGCATCTTACTTTTTTTTTATCACTGAATTGCAGTGATAAAATTATTAAATAGGGCCCAGTATTCAAGTCTGTCAAGATCCTTCTGGATCTTGAGATTATCTTCCAAAGTGTCAGCTATTGCCCTGAGCTTGATGTCATCTGCAAATTTGATGAGTTCCCCTTCTATCCCCTCATCTAGATAATTTACGAAGATGTTGAAAAGTACTGGGCCTGAGACAGAACCTTGAGGTACCCCACTCCATGCTTTCCTTCATATACATGTTGTTCCATTGAAGACCATCTGCTGAGTATGGTTGGTCAGCCAGTTGCAAATCCATCTGATGGTGGTACGGTCTATCCCACATTATACCAAGAAGTAGGCTATGATCTACTTTGTCAAATGCCTTACTGAAATCCAACTAAACTATGCCCACAGCATTTCCCTTATCAATAATGTAATAATTATATATGAATTTTACAAAAAATCTCCTTTTTTACAACCCTGTAGTCCCTATTCAGGGTAGAGTTGGGGCAAATGGATGGAACTGAACCTTTACTGTTGGGATGCCCTTCCTGACATCTATGCAGAGTTCAGAGCAGATGACCTTGGAGAGAAACATCTGCTGCTACTTAGGATTGAACTTTCAACCAAGTGGGAAGTGTCTTCACCACCAGGCCACCATGCAGTTCTTATTAATTATGTATTAATATATATATTTATATATTCATTATATAATACTGTATAGTAAAATTAAAATTAAATATATAATGATAATAACATTATATATATAACACTCATTTAATATATATTGTAATATAACACTAATTTAATATATGTACCCACTCACTCTTTCCTCCCTTATGTATTCATCTCACCATGCTGGGCTTCCATTATGCTCTCTGTATGAAAGACTAGCATGACTGAAATTCTTCCTTCTCCCTCTAAGAAGAGGTCGCCATCTTTGTTTTCCTTCATGGTAAGTTCTTTCATAATTCTCAACTGACTTTTTTTGTCACGAATGAAACAAATATATGTGTCCCAGGATAATGTGCAAGATTCAAACTGGGTCAGTCACCGGGACTGACCCAGACTGGATCTTGACTTTTTTGTATTCAGAATCACTTACCTCCCCACAATACAAAAGGATGGAGACAACATCAGCTGTATTAGAGCAGGGGTATCAAACTTGTGGCCCACAGGCTGCAGGCATCATGTGCAGGCTACGCCAACCCCAGCTCCACAAAGTGGGAAAACGTCATGATATGTCACGTGATGGCAACATGATGTCGCAAGTTTGACACCCCTGTATTAGAGCAAGGGAACCAACAGGGGAAAATGCCTCTGGGCTACCAATGCAGCAGGGTTTTTATTAAAGAAACAATTGTTTATTACCAGATTTTCAACTTCTGCACTTTGCCGAACTCCCCACTGGAACATTCCTGTGAGAGTGATTGCATAGGATAAAGCAAGGCCCACCTTTCCAGCATCAAGAGCTGTGAGACAAGAAAGAAGGCAAGTGTAAAGAATTTTGAATGAACAATTTTCTTCAAGTTTAATAATCTAGTTTATGAAATTGAAAATATAAAACGTATTAAATTACACAAACTAAATACATATACATATGGGCTCTGTATACGTATAGGGAACATGTTCTCCAGGAATATATATATATATTCCTATAACCCTAACCCTAACCCTAACCCTTAAAACCCATCTTTTCCAGCAAGCCGGGCTGGCTTAAGAAGAAATTTTTAAATTCTTTTAATCAGTTTGTGACTTTTTAACTTTCGGGCCAAATTTATATATATATTTTAACTGTTTTTAATATTTGTATTTTATGGTCTTATCTTGGCTGTACACTGCCCTGAGTCCTCAGGGAGAAGGGCGGTATCTAAATTGGAAATTAAATTAAATTAAATATATATCCTGTTTCACCCAAAATAAGACATCCCCTGATAATAAGCCCAATCGGGCTTTTGAGCGCATGGCAATAAGGCCAAGCACTTATTTCAAGGTTCAAACAAATATAAGACAGGGTCTTATTTTTGGGGAAACATGATGTGTGTGTGTGTGTGTGTGTGTGTGTGTGTGTGTGTATGTATGTATGTATATGTATATGTGTATGTGTATATATATATATATATATATTTGTTTTCTGAGATTTTCGCGGGTGTTTGTATGTAGGTCTTTGGTTATTCGGGTTTTCCCCCGTGTAAAATTGGAAGTGTCTTGACAACGTTTCGACGAAGTCTCATTCGTCATCTTCAGGCTGGTGTTTTCGACTTCGTGCCTAGAAGCATGGAGCCGAAAACACCAGCCTGAAGATGACGAATGAGACTTCGTCGAAACGTTGTCAAGACACTTCCAATTTTACGCGGGAGAAAACCCGAATAATCAAAGATCAACATATATATATATATATATACATATACATACATGTGTGTGTGTGTGTGTGTGTGTATGTATGTGTATGTATATATATATACACACACACACACACACATACATATATACACATACACACACACTTAAATAAAGGATTGTAACAAAGAGGAATCTAATATTTATTAAAAATAAAGAACATTAAAGAGGAATTATAAGTATATTCATTTGTAGCAGCACAATATTAACTGAAATTTAACTTACTGATTGATTTAATTCATTAAAATTTTATAATGCCTCACTTCCAACAGCTGGGCGTTTTACCGATAAAAACAAAGAAGAAAAGATGGCACAATCGGACAACAATCAAAACAAACCACATTACCCAGAAATTATCTGGAGGAAGTACTGTCTCATTACCAGTAACTGGCTTGCTGTCGGTAGCATAGCTAGAAAAATATGAGAAGGCAAACGAGAGTAGATAATAGGATAATAGTGTAATGTTTTCCAGCAAGTAAACTTACTCTGTGCAAGTAGCAAAGAGCCAAAGGCCATCACTATGACAAAGATGGCACAGATGGCATCCAAGCGTACAGCAAACCAGCGAGACGTAGTCAGAAATAGGAACCAAGCTTCTGAAAGCAAAAAAAAAGAAAGGGAGATTGTTCAGATGCAACAGATAGAACATTAGCAGGGCTGAAACAATTCGGTTGTATAAATTCAGTCTTATCTTTGAAACTGATTTTGGAAATTCAGGAAGGAAACAGATTTTTCAAACAGTTCCATTTTACCTCTAAGTGATACAGGTGGTCCTCAATTTATGACTACAATTGGAACCAGCATTTATGTTGGTAAGCAAGGCAGTTGTTAAGTGAATTGTGCCCAATTTTATGATCTCTTTTGCCACGGTTGTTAAGCAAATCACTGCAGATGTTAAGTGAATCAGGCAGTCATTAAGCAAATCAGGCTTCCCCCATTGACTTTCCTTGTTGGAAGTCAACTGGGAAAGTCTTAAATGGTTATCCTGTAATCCCAAAATGCTGTAACTCTCATAAATATATGCTGGTTGCCAAGTGCTCAAATTTTGGTCATTTGACAGGTGGATCGGGGTTAAATGCTACCGGTTCGGACCGGTTCGCCTGAACCAGTAATAAAAAATGCTACCAGTTCAGGCAAACCGGTAGTACAAAATATGCTTCCAACAATCAGCTGGGCCGCATGATTTATATTCGCTAGGAAGCAGGAAATCCTGCTTTCTAGAGAATCTAAATCACGCAGCACAGCTGTTCCCCCCCTCACTGTTCTACTTACCTTTGCAGACTCAGAAAAGGCTTCTTAATCCTCCTTTTTCAGCACTGCATAGTAGCGCCTGTGGTGCACATGCACACGAAGCACACATTTGGTGTGTACCGCACATGCGCGCGCAAAGTGAACCGGTAGTAAAGCGAACCGATAGCGGACTTCAGAGCATTTTACCCTTGATGTGGATTCTACAATAGTCATAAGTACAAAGATGGGTTGTAAGTCACTTTTTCCAGTGGCGTTGTAACTTCAAACAGTCACCAAACAAATGGTTGTAAGTCGAGATCTGCCTGTACAGATAGTCCTGGACTTACAACAGTTCATTTAGTGACTGTTGAAAGTTACAACGGCACTGAAAAAATTGACTTAGGACAGTTTTTCAAAGTTACAACCTTTGCAGCTCCCCATGATCATGTGATCAAAATTCAGATGCTTGGCTACTAGTTCATACTTATGACCGCTACAGCATCCCGGGGTCATGTGATCACTTTTTGCAACCTTCTAACAAGCAAAGTCAATGGGGAAGCCAGTTAATTTAACCACCAGGTTAATAGCTTATCCACTGCAGTGATTCACTTAACAACTGTGGCAAGAAAAGTTGTAAAATAGGGCAAAACTCACTTACCAAATTCTCACTTAACAACATAAATTCCGGGCTCAATTGTGGTCGTAAATCAAGGCTACCGTATATCTCAATGAGATTTTTGAGAAGACATCCTACATATTCCTCAAATGAAATAATGCTTCATTCTCCTGCCTCATTCCATTTCTCAAGTAGTGAATACAGTAGTTGAGGAAATAGTATACTTCAGGAAGAATCTTTCTTCTTGGTTCTGCTGAACTGGAAATTAATTACCTTGATCTTTTTACAAACCTGTGTGTAGGTCTTGGTGTGCATCAAATAATTCTTGGAATCTTTGCTGTGCTTGAAAAGCACGAATTGTCCAAAGTCCCTGAAGAGATGATGATAAATGAGAAAAAACTGGGCTTCGAGCTGCAACATAAAGATTAAAAGATGTCAGATTTCAAGAGAACTCTTTCATTATGATGACCTTTAATAGTACTATGAGATATTAACTGAATCAATGTGTAATATTTATCACTGGTATTACAAAAACAGTAAGTGTTTCTCTAAAATTATCTTAATGCTTATTTAAAAATCATTATAAAATTATTGCCACCCAGAGTCACTTGAACTGCAAGATGGGCGGCAAATAAATTTGATAAATAAACAAACCAAAAAATAAATAATGCAGAAGTTGCAGGGACTGATACTCAACTGATGTACATACAGCCATGATTAGGTTATCTTGTTTTTGAATTGTTATAGTCAGTAACAAAATATCTATATGACTTAGAATCAGTGGTGAAATCCAATTTTTTTTACTACCAGTTCTGTGGGCGTTGGCTTGGTGGTTGTGGTGTGGCTTGGTGGGCGTGGCTTGGCAGGCATGGCAGGGGAAGGATACTGCAAAATCTCCATTCCCACCCCACTCCAGGGGAAGGATACTGCAAAATCCCCATTCCCTCCCCACTCCTGGGGGAAGGATATTGCAAAATCTCCATTCCCACCCCACTCTGGGGCCAGCAAGAGGTGGTATTTGCCGGTTCTCCGACCTGCTCAAAATTTCCGCTACCAGTTCTCTAGAAACTGTCAGAACCTGCTGGATTTCACCCCTGCTTAGAATGAATTCTACTGACATCTTTCACAGTGAAGAACACAAAGCAGAAGTTAGAATAAAGTGGAAAAATGTTGTTTATACCTACTCAGCACCAGAAGGTCTGGCACAAAAGCTGAGCAGGCAATATTTTGAGACAGGTAGATAGAAACGCTGACTAGCAGTGGAAAGGCAGAGTTGGGGGGGGGGATGGCTAATGAAAAAAATGTAGTCTTTATGCTATAGTTATTCTGTAGAATTGAGGTCATTTAGCAATCTATAATATACAGTATTTAAGTAGGTTGCAACTTCCTAGCTTGTCCTCTGTTTCTTTTGTAACAAGAGCTATGGTGGCACAGTGGTTAGAATGCAGTATTGCAGGCTAAATCACTGCTTACTGTCAGGAGTTGGATCTGACCAGCTCAAGGTTGACTCAGCCTTCCATCCTTCTGAAGTTGGCAAAAAGAGGACCCAGACTGTTGGGGGCAATAGACTGACTCTGTGAACTACTTAGAGAGGGCTGTAAAGCACCATGAAGCAGTACATAAATGCTATTGGCTAGTGCTAACTCCAAATTTTCACATATTTTCATTATTAAGAATAAGGGATGTGTCAATTATAATTCATAGCTGAATTGCTGAAATAAAGAGAAAAGAGAAAACAGGATAATTTTTTTTTTAAGCAAAATCAGAAACAGGCAACTTGTGAGGTGCAAGAGTCACATTCCTTTTCTTTCCCAGCCTCCAGTGGTCACTGGGCTCATCCACTCTTTTTGGACTTATTCATTTAAAATAAAATTGGTGTATTGAGTACTGTGAGAGCTGAAAGCATTTCCTTCACTTTTTATTTCAGCAAATTTCTCAATCGTTCCTAATGTCAAATTCAGACAAAGCACATGGGAGATTGTGCTCAGCTGGTGAGAGAAAAAGGTACATATGTTGTGTCTATTACTGAGAGCAAGAAATTAAGAGTTTTTGGCATTCTTGGAAATGGAACGTTTTATATGTGCTGGAAATGGATTTTTATACATGCCATTAAGGGCTACAAGAAGGGATGAGCCAAAGGAGTGTTCAAAATCACTACCAAAATATACATATACTCGTGTTTCCCCGAAAATAAGGTGAGGTTTTATTTTCTTTTGGGTCACAAAATAAGCACTAGGGCTTATTTTTCAGGGATATTGTGGCTGCGGCACCATAAGCATCCAGATGGAATGGGCTACGGAGGTTCTTAAGTAGGGCTTATTTTGGGGGATAGAGTTTATATTAGGTGCATGCGTAAAAACATGCTAGGGCTTATTTTTGGGATAGGTCTTATTTTCAGGAAAACAGGGGTATGTACAGGAGGAAAACCAACTTTGCATGCGAGCAATTTGCAGCAAGGAACGCAACGATTCCCAAATTGTTAAAATTAAAACACCTACTGGTAGATTCCAAACGTTTGATATCTCTTGATGTATCCAAAAAGTAGCGTCGAAGAAATATGAAAACAATAAGAAGAGGAACCAATGGGATGAGAATCCAGGGTATCACAGCAATTGCCACGCCGACCACCCCACACACCTGAAGAAAGGTCTGCCAGAAGAAAAAGTAAACAGGAACCATCATCAAACCTCTAAGTTTTCAAAAGTTCTTCTGAGAGTCCTGCTCACAACACTGTACCAAGAGATAGTGATGTTCAGAGAAGACCATCCCAAAGTCCATACAGTCATATAAACGGACATAGTATTTGGGAAACATTTTCTAATTATTTCTACTAACACCCAAAATTCATTTATGGTCCTTCCACAACATGCCCATTGTTCTGATTTCACAACAAAAATCAAAAGGACAAGATGTTTAGCAAATTGCAAGTCTCACTTGCTGTATCATTTCTGCCCACCCCAATCTGCAAGGTAATGATGTTAATGAACTAACTAAATGGCAATGGTTAAGATGGCTGAAAGGTACTTTTGGAGCATAAAAAAACAGCAACTAAGTTCCAGAAGCCCACAGCTGAACGCAACATGTGAAATTGCCACCACACCAAGATCATAGAAATCAAGCAGAGTCAGAAACACCAAAATTGATTTCTCCTAAACTAGGTTCCAAATTTTCCAAGCCTGGTCTTAGCTCCCTAGTCTTTTGGTTTCCTTTCAGCCAAGCCCTTTGTGATTCTGGGGCTTATCTCAACTTTTAGGCTCTCTACTATTTTCTCCTAGCTCCTTACTTTAACATTATCTCTACCACTATTGTCTTTTTCTGGGGGGGGGGGGTTTCTACCTTTTTAGGGTTAATTTAGGGTTAATTTAGCAATTAATTAACTGCTTAATTAATCTTTCTTTTTACCCTGCTTTTTACTGTCCCCAGAACTATAAAATGGCCTCATCAAAGCTTTATTTATACACAGGCTAAATTTACCATCATGCACTTGCTTGAAGTATGCTTGAAGTAAATGAATTAGAGAATGAATTTTCTCTTTGGTTTCAGGGTCATGTTTACTTACAACCTTAAGAAACAAAATCTCTCAGATGGGAATATTCTGGAAAACAAAACCTGCTCGTGGAAGGAAAATAAAAGAGCGGGGATATTGTTAGGATGATGAAGTTCTGACACACCATTGTCTGACACACATCCTATCTTTGGAAGGAATTTTACAGAAGCCTCATTAACATTAAACTTATGAAAGGGTGGGTCATTCTAATATCATGCATATGAAAAACTCAACTTGCATGCAAATAAACTGTTAATGAAATAGTCTCAAAAGGCAGACACCTTATTGCACAGGCAACAACCAAGCCCTGTACAGAAAGAAAAGGCATCTGATTTCCCAACTTATGCAAATTGAACAATATCCTTGGAAAACACGTGGCCATTTCATAATGAATTAAACTTTACCTCTCCCTTTTCTTTTAGAGCCGCCTTTCTTTAAACTATCATCATAAGGGCTGCAGTTTCTACACAGAGGGGGGGAAGGAGGTGAATCAAGCTGATCTAAAGGATTTGGCTTGATGTTCAGGGGAAAAAAGGAGCTAAAACTGGAGCAGGCAGAGGGTTTGGTGAACTGGTGGAATAAGAACAGCTTGGTTCTAAATGTAAGAAAAACAAAAGAGATCGTTATCAATTTCAGAAAAGACATGCACAGCCATACACCTCTGTGCATTAATGATTTAACTGTGGAGGTGGTTAGTAGTATTGAGTTTCTGGGTTAACTTGGCCGTTCAACAGTGAGGCACTGGTGAAGCTGGCATAGCAGCACCTGCATTTCTGCATCGTGTAAGACTAGCACATCTTCCTTCCCCTGTCCTTACCACTTTCTATCGAGGGACGATTGAAAGCATCTGTCGTATGGCATTGGTTTGGAAATATTACGGTTTCAGACAGGAAGGCCGTGCAGAGAGTGGTGAGGACGGCAGAAAAAATCTATTGGGAATTCACTTCCTTTTATCCAGGACATGGCATATAAGTGATGCTTGACCAGGGTTCGCAGTATTGTCTGGGATCCTACACATCCTTTCCATGACCGGTTTTCTTTGTTACCTCCTGGGAGGAGGCTTCGCAGCTTCCAAAGCAGAACAACTAGATTCTGTAATAGCTTTATACCATATAGTATCAACCTTGTTAACTCTCAAGACTTTTTGCTATGTATTCAAAATGGACTGTGATTAAGATATATATATATATATGTGTGTGTGCACAGCATATGATTGGTGTGTGTGTATTTCTTTTGAGGGAGTGCATTAGAATTTCATTTGTAATGTGTGCCAGTGTTTATACAGAAAAAGTGACGATATCTTAAATATATTGCCCAGGTTTTAAAATGAAGTCTCCTCCCGTTGACAAGGACTGACCAGGTGAAAGAAAGGTCTCTTTCCCAGCCCCCCTCAGCCCCCCCTCTCTCTATGTAGTTTCTCTTCTATCGAGAGTCAGAGTGTGCTATCTTTGCCACCAGCAAGAAAAATATTTTCATACGTTAATTGGCTTGATTTATATATTGCCTTTCTACACTAGTAAATGTTTAAGAGGACTAAGAGCATGTAAAAAGTAAAAACATAGTTTAAAATATTAAAAGAAAAAAAAAACAGATAACAAGATGTTATCTCGAGAATTTTTCCTGCAGATCTTAACCGCTAAGCAAGTTAGCACTGCAAAGGGAATCAGATTCCTTGGACAATCAGGCTCCAGAGTATTCAGGGCTTTAAAGGCTGGTGTAGCAAGATCTATGTGTTGGTGAATTACACAGACGCATCCATCGGGGATCAGGGCACAATACGGATTTACCTTGCTATTATAGCTGACTTCCAGAACTTTTACTAATGTTCCAGTTTAGCCTACCGCCCTGGACTTTGTGTAGCTTTCTAGATCAATCAAGGTTGATTAGTGCTGCCACCTAGCTGAGCCACACTGAAACTTTACATTGTGCTCAGTAAGCAATATATAACAAGAATACCTGTCTTAACACAGGGATCAAATGATCCCTAGACTTTACAGATTAACAGCCTAACTGTGACATTTCATATCAATACCCGGACATTTCTCAGGATGCTATAGAGAGCTGCTACTCTATATTACTCCTTCTACAAAAAAGCAAAGCAAATGGACAAAAAAGAACATCTTTAAATCTCACATGTGTTTAAATCTATACAAATATTTTACAAGTCTTACCCTCAGATTCATTTAGCTTACATATTTATCCCTTGAGATCCAATATTGATAATTTGCACTGGTAATTTTACTTCAAAAAAACTCCCTTTGAATCAGAAAGTAAAATCTGAGATCTATTTGTGTCAAACAGAAAAAAAAAAAATCCCCCATTTTGTTTATAAATACATCCATAATATATCAGTAGTTTAAGGCAATGTAAAAGATTTGTACTTATCACCATTTAAAACAGGATTGTTACACTCTATGAGTGACAGGGGAATTAAAAGATTTGTAGAAGCTAAGAAGTTGTTAGAAATGTTAATGGAATCACTTGATCTTTTCTTCCTTCTGCTACAGAAACTCTTCCTGCCAGGAAATTATGTTACAGTGTTCATAGAAATGTTTTGAAGGGATAAAATCTGCAGTCTTTTGTAAAAAGAAATTAGAAATGTAGACAAGGGAAGATGGAGCAATTTAGAAAAGCAGGAGAATGCTTGACTGGCCTATGGGAACCCTGGGTTTAAGGCAACTCCATATTCATTGTTGGCATGAAAAACTCAGGAGTACAATAAATGCTGAAGAGCAAATGGCCCACAGGTACTTAAACATCACTGATGCAAGCCATGTTCCAGGATATGGATATGTGACCCAAATCTCTATAATTAAAGGCTGTCTCACCAAGGCTTCATTTAAGGATTTAAAGATAGCAAAAATGGGAGAATAAGATTATTCCCCTGATGTGGAAGACCATCATATCAAGAGAAAACAGGATCTTCTATCCCTTCCTGGCCAATACTGGTGCTACCCTCATCCTATGGCTAGTCTACAACGTCTTTTGAGACAGTTCTCAGAATTGTATTTTGGGAGGTGACTATGACACCGCCCAACTCCTAGCTTCAGGAATTTTCTTTGATTGTAACCACCTAATTAATTAATGCTTGTGATGTGTGTGGCTATGGGGAACATAAAGCAGCCTCTTCTGAGTCTATAGATGAGACTCAATTTGCTCCCTATCCTGCCTTCCCATTAATTTTATTTACTGACAGTTGCTCCTAAGCCTTGAGGTTGTCTATCAGTAATTAATATCATTCATTATGACAGCAGTGACATAATGTATATTTCTGAAATGCAGGGGCGATTATGTCAACACCCCCTCCCCCCAAGTTACAATTAAAGGGAATAATCTAAATGTGATTGATATTCAAAGGTGTTCACTCCACTAAAATGCAGACGTGCAAGCATTTAATTTAGCACATAACCAAATCCCAATTATGGTATTATGTAAATCAGTATTTGTTTGTTTTAGTGTTGCATTACCTCAACTGTGGTAAATGTTACCAGGAAAGTAGTATCACACAGCTTTAAAATGCAGTGGTGCAATTTAAAGCAAAGAGAGAAGTGAGAAGACATGAAACCTTTATCTAACTTGGTGTTTTGCCATCAGCCAAAAACCAGGGAAATAATGGCTGGTTGCCACTGCAAACAATGCAACACAACAACTGGAAAATGCAAAATGCAAGAGTGCGAGAGGAAGAAAAGAATGACTGCCAATCTTTCTTTCAGATCCAAATAGTTTATCTTTTAAAAAAAACCCAAAAACTTTTTAGGAAAAGTCAACATTCACTACCTTCAGTGAACATCAAACCTGGGGTAGAATTTTGAATATTTTTAAACACCATGGAATGTTGTTTTTTCTGCAATTTGGAAACTCCTTCTTCTGCATATTTGCATTAAAGTGCAATAAAGTTAATGTAAAGAAATTATACAGTCCATATTGTGAATTCCAGGTGCTTGTAAAGGAATGCAAGACCTTTTTCGTTTTCAAAATTATTGCAAATGGTTTTTTAAAGGGTATCAGTAAAACACCAATTTCAAGCACATTCTTTAACAAAGAATATATAAAATGGAAAATGTGTAACAGTGTTCAAGGAGGTCTGGCAATACAGTGGCAG